TCTTGGCAGCCACATCTCTCCTTGTTTTCATCTTTGCAGGAATAAAATTTAGCTGAGAGCACTTTGAAATCCACCATCCACTTCAAAGGTGACCTCTTTGCCTAGCTCTTGTTGCATCCATTTTGTCTGATGCATCTCCTTTGATTCCTGAGTCCCTGAACTAGTACTGAATTCCTCAATGCACAAGCATTGAACATGGAATAAACCAGAAAGAATGAAACATGAGAGCATCAATGTGGCTAAAGTAGGAAAGAAGATCCTTCCACTGAAGTGGAGATACCTGTTTGTAATTATCCTTCAGTAATTTTATTTGCCAGCGGTTGGTATTGTAATGCTGAATAACTTGGAAAGGAGCAAGTCTCCTACAACCAAGCAAGAGAAAGAAAAGAGATAAACAAACCATCAGGGTTCATTCGATTTATTCTTTATATTGCAATAAGGTGCATTTTAAAACTCTGTTAGAGACTTGCCTTCCCTGTCACTAGGATACATCAGTGACCATCCTGTTAATTACAAAGGTAAGAGTGACCAGCTAGGTTGAGAATCACATTTGTCAAACACAGCCTAGGTCCCCAGATGTGACTGCAATGTCCAAGGGTGGAATTCCACCCTCTAGCCCATGGGTTCTCTACTGCAATCAACACTGCAACTAACATGGTGGAGGCTTCAGGACAGAGGGTTCTGCCACATGTGGCAAACACTCACCTTAAGCTGACTGAGCGGCACCACGTAGGACTGGTGCCAGAGTGTATTGAGAAAGACATTTATGAGAGAGCATTTGCTAGCTCCCAGTGAGACTCAGATGCTGCGGGACTCAGGAGGGACCACCTGGCCCAGAGCAAACATTCCACCAGCATTCTGGCTCCTGGAAAGGCAATGTCTCTTTGTTCCAGTGTTGAACATTCCTGACAGATTTAGCTCTAATTCGGAAAAAGGAAAATCCAACCTGTCACACTGCTCTTGAGAAGCAGGAGACCTCTGTTTCAGTCCCTAAGCATGGGAAATAGGTGCAGCTTCCAGACCCTCCCCTCTTGCTCAGACGTTTTAACTCTGGGGCACACACCGTACACAACTCTGGAGGTTGTGCAGCCTTCTATAGGAAAGCAGAGCTCATTTCTCTTCTGACACCATGCAGCCGCCTGGTTTGTGTGTGCTCACGGCAGGGAAGGCATTCAGTCATTTCCCACCCACATGACTTGCCGATGTGAGTAGCTCCGCAGGGCAGCCAGGAGTCTGGTTCCTGAGCCCCCAGAGCCACCACGGGCGCCCCGAGCCCTCCCCACGCCCTGACCAGGAACCAGCAGCGCCGCTGACGCCGCAGCGCACTCACGCGGGCGGCGCAGCAGGGACGGCACCGCCCCGAGCGGTAAACGCGGCCCGGGAGCGCGGGAACGGGCGCGGGCAGGTGAGGGGCGGGGCCCGGCACCCCGCAGCGAGGAGCGCAGCCCGCGCTCAGCCGGACGCTGCTCCGGGATAGCAGCCTCGCGGCAGGAAGCAACCGCAGTCCTCTCTGCTGGCCAGGGGGGACGTGGCGACACGCACAGAGGTCCCCCATACACATGTAGCTGTCCCGGCGTCTGGTTCTGCCAGAGCCTGTCGGCGACGTTAGGTGGTGGCTGTGCAAGATGTCAGCAGGTTGATGATGTGCTCCGCATGGTGGCAGAGCTGCGGGAAGAGGTGGAACAGCCAAAGGAATAAGGAAATCTGAGCAGGAGACTGACTGGTGGATGTGTACTGTACCATTGCTGAGCCAGCCACATTAAACGGAAGAGCTTCAGGATCTCCTACCTTCTTGCCATTGGGAAGATGGATGGGACCGAGGAGACAGGGAGGCTGGTAACAGGTTAATCCTCAGATCAGATGGCACATTATCCTCCAGTTTCTATCACCTTCCCAAGTACCCCATTACAACAGATTCGAGGCCCTGGTACTTGAGGATCAGGAAAGTGAGGAATCATCCAGGTGAGAAGAGGTCCCACAGAAAGGTCAGATAACACCTTGTATTACGACCAAGCTCTACTAGAAGAAAAGAGTGGTTGTGATTGGTGACTCCACACTAAGGAGAACAGAGGGTCCCCTATCGGTCCTGACCAGACTCAGGGAGATCTGCTGTCTCCCCGGGGCCAGGGCAAGGGGCGTCACCAGAAAACTCACTCGTCTGCTACAGCCCTGCAACTACCATCCGTTATTAGTTTTCCAGGTAGGCAATGAGGAAATCTCTTCAAGAAGCCTGAGGGGACTCAAGAAGCACTTCAGAGCCTTGGGGCGATAGGTTCAGGGTTCAGGAGCCCAAGTAGTGTTCTCATCCTTCCTGCCAGTCACAGTCAGTGACAACGGTTACATTGGAAAAATCTCAGTAATTAATTCCTGGCTCCATGACTGGTGTCACCATCAGAAGTTTGGGAGTTTGGACCATGGCTCAGTCTATACGGGACCACGTCGGCTGGTGGCAGATGGGGTACGCCTGTCCTAAAGGGGGAAAAGGACTCTAGCCCAGAAGTAGCAGGGCTCATACAGAAGGCATTAAACTAGGTTTGAAGGGGGAAGGGGATAACACCAGGCTCATTAGACATGAGCCATGGGGTAGCATGCTGCTGTTGGAGTCCAGATCCACAGGCAGCTTCAGTACATTTATACAAATGCCCACAGCATGGGCAACAAATAGGAGGAGCTGAAAGCCATTGTGCAGCAGGGAAATCATGACATAATCACCATCACAGAAATGTGCTGGAAAGATTTGCATGATTGGAGTGCTGCAGTGGATGGCTACAGGCTCTTCAGAAGGGATAGGCAAAGAAAAAGAGGTGGTGGGGTTGCGTTGTACGTCAGGAAGTGCATCGACTTCTGTGAACTCAGTGTTCTGAGTGAGAAAGCTGAATGCTTGTGGGTGAAGATCAGTGGGAAGGCCAACCAAGCAGACATCCTGGTACTAGTCTGTTATAGACCACCCAGCTATGATGAAGCTAAAGGTGGAAGTATTCTTCAAACAACTGGGAGAAGTTTCATGATCGCTAGCCGTTGTTCTCATGGGGGACTTCAACGTGCCAGATGTCTGCTGGAAGTACAACACAGCAGAGAAGAAACAATCCAGGATGTTCTTAGAGGGCATGGAAGATAACTTTCTGACCCAGCTGGTGAGTGAGCCAGCTAGGAGAGATGCCTGGCTTAATTTGCTGTTTGCAAAAAGAGAAGGACTGGTGGGTGATGTGATGGTTGGAGGCTGTCTTCGGCAAAGTGATCATGAAACAACTGAATTTTCCATCCCTGGAGAAGTCAGGAAGAAGGTCAGCAAACCCCCACCTTAGACTTCCAGAGGGCTGACCTTGGCCTGTTTAGGATGCTGGTTGGTAGAATTCCTTGAGAAACATTACTGAGGGTCAAAGGGGTCCAGGAAGGCTGGACACTCTTCAAGAATTAAATCCTTAAGTCGCAGGAACATGCGGTCCCTATGTGCCGACAGTCAGACCGGCGGTGAAGAGACAAGCCTGACAGAACAGAGAGATAGTGCTGGAACTCAGGGAAAAAGAGAGAATTTATCACTGTGGAAGAAGGAGCCATCACCCCATGAAAAATACCAGGATGTTGTTAGGTTATATAGAGAGAAAGTTAGGAAGATGAAGGCACAGCTGGAACTGAATCTGGCCATTGCCATAAAAGATCATAACAAATACTTTTACAAATATATTAGCAGTAAAAGGAGGGCCAAGAAGAACCTCCATCTTCTACTGGATGCTAGGGGAAACCTAGTGACTGAGGATGAGGAAAATGCCACCTTTGCCTCAGTCTTTGATATTCACTCCAGGCATCCTCAGGCTACTCAGTTCCCTGAGTTGTATAGCAGAGATGGGGAGCTGGTTGAAGTCCCCATAATTCAGGAAGCAATGGTTAGCAACCTCTTGCTCCACTTAGATGTATACAAGTCTATGCGGCCAGATGGGTTCCACCCAATAGTGCTGAAGGAGCTGTCAAAGGATCTTGCTAAGCTGCTCTCCATCATCTGTCAGCAGTCATGGTCTGGTGGGCAGGTCCCAGAGGATTGGAGGTTGGCCAATATGGCACCTCTCTACAAAAAGGGCAGGAAGGAATACCCCAGAAATAAAAGTCCATCTTTATCTACTACAACTGTTTCATCCCGGCATTGCTTGGTCAGCCATGTTCTGCAGAAGTTCAACAGCTGCCAGAGCATGGTGAGCAGTTTGACTGAATGGGCGGTTCAGTCCAAGGCAGCCCTTCGGTTCTCATTCCCTTAGGGACTGAGAGGAAATAATAAGCAGGTTTTCAGGCCAAGCTAAACTAATGTCGCTCATTGAGAAACTGACTGCTCATGGTCTGGATAGGTATATTTTAAACTGGGAAAAAAAAGCAGCTGAATGGCCAAGACCAAAGAGTGGTGGTAAATGGCATCACATCTACTTGGCAGCCAGTCACTAGTGGTGTCCCTCAGGACTCAGTATTAGGGACAGTGTTGTTTAATATCCTCATTGATGATCTGCACCGGGGGTCATGTAATTTTGCAGACAACACCAGTTGGGTGGGAATGTTGATCTGCTGGAGGGTGGGAAGGCTCTGCAAAGGGATCTGGGCAGGCTGGATGGATGGGCAGCGGCCAATGGTATGATGTTCAATGAGGCAAAGTGCTGGGGCCTGCACTGACTGGAAATCTGCTTGGTGGAAAAAGAGCTGGGGTGCTGATTGACAGCTGCTGAACATGAGCCAGCTTGTGCCCAGAAAGCCAAGAAAGGCAATGACATCCTAGCCTGTATCATCAATAGCCTGGCCAGTAGGCCCAGGGAAACTATCGTCCCCTTGTACTGGGCACTGGTGAGGTGGCACCTCAAATCCTGTGTTCAGCTCTGGGCCCCTCAGTGCAAGATAGACACTGAGGTGCTGGAGCGGGTTCAAGAAAAGGGAAACAAAGGTGGTGAGGGGTCTAGAGAATGAGCCTTAGGAGGAACACAGAGAAGGGTGGGCAGTGCCCTCTTCCCCCTCAGCGTGGTGGAGGGCGGAGCGGGCGTTGCGCGCCTGAGATGTAAAAGCGCTGCGCGGCGCTGCTTTGCCCGCGGCGCGCCTTCGCCTGCCCCTGAGCCCGCGGGCGCCGGGCTCTCCCGTCGGCGCGGTGAGTGAGGGGCGCGGCGCGGCGCGGCTGCTCGGCGGCGGGCGGAGCGGGCCGGTGGTGGCCGGGCGGGTGGTGGCCGCAGCGGCCCCGTGCGGGGCGTCCATTTTGTGATGGAGCCGGGCGGGCGCGGAGGGCTCTCGGGGCCCGGCTGTCTTCTCTCCCGCCACAGCAGCCATCCCTCCATTTTATCTCCTTGGTGGCACGCTTGCTTGCGGCCGCGCTCCGCGGCGGGTCTGTCCCCGAGCGCTGCTGGAGCCATCCCTCGTCCCCCGCCTTTCCACATCCCGCGCCCGCGGGGGGACTGTTCCAGCTCCTCTGCTGAGGGTGCGACCCCTCAGGATGCTGGGGCTGCCCTGCCGGCGGGAAGGGCCTTAGCCTGGTGCGGGGATGGGACCTGCTGCCTTTGGCGCCTCAGCGCTGCCTAGCACGTCCCTTGTAGTAAGCATTGCGGCCTCCAGCCACGCTTTCCCTCTTCCAGAGCAAGCAGTAAGTGAGGGCAGGGTTGGGAGGCGCCTATGCGTGCACGTTGCTCAGCTAACCCGCTTTCTTGCTTATCTTTGCTTTGCAACGTGCGCAGTGCCGCGGAGGTGAAGGCCCAGGTGTCAAGGAGAAACCCTGGGCTGTTTCCCTGGCCGTCTTTCCATGTCCCGGGTAGCTCCTGGGTGGCTGCTGTGCCGTGCTGTGCGTTGCTTTCCCTTAAAGAATGCAACGGTGGTTGAGAATTTACCAAAAATGCAGGTATTGTTTGTAGCGTGGGAGTCAGCCCCACACCCTGCAAGGTGCTGTGCTCTGCTGTTCCTGAACCTGCTCTGTGATGGGGACTGGGGCTTTTTTCCATGTTGTTTGTCAGCATTTTGCAGGCAGCTGGCCTGACTAACGGATGGATTCTTCTTTTTTGCATATGTACGTGTGAATGAGGCAGACAGGGTGGGGAGCCCACTAAAAAAACAAGTGGTATTTTACATGTAGCTAAGGCTGGACAGAAGGATTGGAACTACATACAGGCTATAAACATAGCAGTTGCAGCTCTAAAAAGTTCATAGGCTGCATATGGGGCAGGAAGGCTGAGATGATCATGGTGCTGCAGCTGTATGAGTTAACTGTCTCTTGGCTGAGTCTGTTTGCCACCTCTATGTGGCACCTGACAACTGTTAATGTTCATGCTTGAGCAACAGCCTCATGGTTGATGCCCAGCGTCAGGTGAGCCGGTGAACGCTGCCTGATCTATGGGCTCTGCTAAGCCTTGGGGGCAAGTGGGGAAGATGCGGTCACACACATAGGTGTACAGGAGCCTCTGCGGTGGAACAGCTCTGCCTCTTGAAGCTGTTCACTCAGCGTGGCTTGGCTGTCTGCTGTCTCCAAGTCAGAGGGAAATAAAAGGAACGCTTGGAGAGAACAGGTAGGAACTTATTGGTCAGATACTCTGTGCACTTCTGTTGCCATCAGCGCTCAACTGAAATGCCTTTTAGACAGGATTTCCATATAATACAAAAGAGGACTGCACAGGCTGCATAGCTGCAAGTGCTGACCCTGACACAAAAGAGGAGCAAGCTTGTGGATTGCCGCAGCTCTCAGAATTTATTTTGCTGTCAAGTATTTTAAGTATTGCGCATTTTGAGTGATCTGAAGGGGACAGGCCTTGACTGTGCTCTACCACATGCGTGCTTTAAGTAGTCAAATTAGCTTTGAAGTAAACCCATTTCCTGAGCAGAACTACGTTTTATGCTGGTTTGCTGGGATGCGTAAAGTTTGAATCTTGCTGCTTGTAGGCTTGTGCTTATCACGGAGGGGATGTGTTCAGAAGGCACTCCTCATTTCAGGTGGGCTGTAATGGAATCCTGAGGCTTCTCATTCAGGCAGTGAGACCTTTGCTCTGTCAAGTTCCTCAACAGGTTGATGAGACTTCAGTGGCCTTTTAGAAATGTCATTTCCAGTTACGCTGCAGCTTCCGGAGAGTAGAAAACAAAGTGGTGACTTTAGTTCTCTTTGCTCTTATTGTGATGCTGTAAACATCAGTGTGGAGTGGGGCAGGAAGAAAAGAGGGTGACTTTGTCTGCAGATGTGCCCAGTGGATGCTGGCTTAATCCTGGTGAGGTTTATTAGCTGGGCCACTGTGGTGCTGAAGGGGAAAGAGGGATGTTGCAGAGCCCCTTAGCCTCTAGTGAAGGATGAGCTAAGAAGTCCTGCTGGCTTAACTGAGCATGTGGAGAAGCTAGTGGCACTGGCCAGCAGAACTAGTTCAGTGGTTCTGGGTAGAGCTGGTTGGTGTCCAGTCAATACTGACTCGGAGTTAGTAACCCAGGGTGGATTATTTCTGCTATGTACGTTGGTGTGTTTGGCAGTATCCTATGATTTTTTTTCCATTACCTGTTATATCCTCATCCTAGGATATATCCTAGGGCCAAAGTCCTGGCAAATTTCTCATTTACTGGATGGTGGTGATTCATCTCGCCAAATGCAGTCATATCCAAAGTAGCCAGCCCCTGCTCCTGTTAAGGTCAATCAGGGGAGGAGTGGAGTTCCTGGAGTGTGATTCATCTCAGCCTTCCCACTGACTATAAAAGGAGGATTAGCCTGGATGTCTAAGTCTGCGCTATAAATGTTGTCAGTGTCTCAATGGACCTGTGAGCTTCTCTGATTCCTCAGTGACTTTGGGAAGTGTTGTGGCTGTTGACACTATGTGGGGGTTTGTTCTGGTTTGAGCACTCCCTCCTTAGTGCTGTCATTGCAGTGTCCCTGGCTACTTAAACCCACTTAAAAAAAAAAAGAAGTGGGAGAGAAAAAGGTACAACTGAATCTGTTGGTCAGACAAAACATGGGGGCTATCACCTGCCCTATGACAGGATTCCTGACAACTGCCTGTGGCTCCTGGGCAGTTTGGGGGTGTCAGGGATCAGGAGCTGGGGCTCCCACTCTCCTGCTGCAGTTTATAGAAACCAAGGCGCTCCACTCGCTCTGGCAGCACTGCCTGGAGCTGCCTTCCCTCGGTGGGTCAGCAGCTGCTGCGCTTGCCGGGGTCCCCGAGTGTGCTGGAGACCACCAAGGTGGTGGCTCATAAATCCTGTGAATGGTACCTCCAACAGAAGTGCCTTATTTCAGAGTTTACAAAATAAAGTACTTTTAAGAGATGCAGTTTTAAGTTTCTGGTATTCTTTTACTGTAGTGAAAAACAGTTCAGAAAACTTTATTTCACAGATGTGCAGGTTTTGTGTGTTCAAGAGTTGCAGTAACTGCTATAGAAAAAAATGTGCTACTAGCTTCTGTGCCAAGCAAGATCCCTTGTGAAATTTTCCTGTTCATCTTACCTGTTCCTCAGTGCCTCCCCTATCGTGTTCTGTCCCCTTTTCTGAGAAATACATGACTGCTATATTTACTAAACTACTAAATTTATTACTGTCTGCGTAATATTTTGCTTAATATTTTCTTACACCTCTTCCTCCTGCCTTTTTCTGAGGTAAGGAATAACTCTTAGGTTCCCTTTTACCAGCTGTCTTTCCCGAGCTGTACAGATTTCACAGTTCACTCTTGCCTCATGTTTGTTGTTTGTGTCTTTCCTTGTAGATCTCATTGACCCATCTATATTTCAAACCACAAGGATGAGGATTTTAGTTAGTATCCTGTTTCTGAGGACTTGCAATTAATAACTGTTAGGATTTACTGAGTGAGCTATGCTTGAAATTTAGTGGCTGTTTGACCACTATATTGAGCCATGTCTGAAAATTTACTATAAGCCACTCTGGAGTGAAAAAAAAAAAACAACCCAAAAGAAATTAAACAATGAGCTTTTTATTTTAGTGGGTTTGTCCCTGGTACTGATTCAGGCAGACAGTTAAAATCCTCTGTACCATATCATTTATTTATTCCTGGAGCCTATTCTGTCAAATGAGAAGGTGTTCTCAAAATCAACATCCATGTGTGCTGTGACCCGTATTGTTATTCCTGGCTGTGCGTAAGCCTAACTGTCTTATTTTGCCAGGTCTAACCTGAGTTAGCAGCTAGGTTGCCTTTGAAGTTTCAGCTGGCAAAGTAAAATAGTATGGTGTGTCTAGAAAATACTTGCTAATGAGTTAGCAGTGTTTGAGTGAGGTCATCTGAATGCTGCACAGACAGCTTAGTGCTCTGTGCAGAGGTGATGATGCCTGGGAGGTAGAAGGTAGTCCCAAGCATTTGGGGACACTCACCTCTGCAGCCAGTGCACTTGAGACAGTCAGAAAACCAGTGTCTACACTGGTGCTGCTCTGTGTGTTTAGAGTGGACCACATCAGTTCAGTGGTTTGATTAAACCAAAGGTGAATTTGCCTTCGCTGTGGGGTATTTGTGGGATGTAGTTTAGTGCCACGTTCCATTGCAATAAAAGAAGTACCATGCAAAATCACCTTTTAATTTTATGGGTGAAGCATACTGAGATCAGGGCTTTGGAGAACTTGCATCCAAGGGATCTGCTTCCCCAAACTGCTTCTGCAGTGGGGTCGGGAGGTAGTAACTCTGTGGATGGTGGATGAATAGAAGGCTCTGCTGTGAAATCTGGAGTCAGTAAACAAAACCCATTCTGCAAAATAGGAGGGAAAAAAAAGTACAAGCTGTAAACAATAAAAAATCAGACTACCAGTAATGCTAGTAGTAGTTTATTTGGGAATGCTGATGTGGGAGATTTATTTGGACATGGTATGTGGCAGGAGTAAACTTACTGTACAAAAGATTACTGTGATTTAATTAGTGAACTGTTTCTTTAAGCTGAAGAAAAGCTTTACTTCATCAGGTGAGTTATTGTTAAACTAATTGGAAAAACTGTGCTGCTGAGGTGGGAGAACTAGGTTATTTTGCTGAAGTGACTCTCATAAAGCAAAGTAGATGTGATGTATCTTTAGAAGATATTCCAGAGGGGATTAGTTGGCTTGGGTAACCAGAATAGTCTTTCAGCCTTAGGTTGCTGATTAAACTTCACTCAGAGTTGCATACTGCCTGCCAGCTGTTTGATGACCCATATGAGATAATCCCAA